TTGTAGTTTTATTGCTAATGGTTCAAATTCTTGTGTATGTTTTTCAGAATATGCAAACAGGAACGCTGATGATACCAGTAGAGAATTGATGGTGCGAAAGCCAATGAACGAGGCCCAATTCAAGGTTCAGCCATCTGTCCCGTTTGGCATCTAACCAATTACTAATACTAAATAATATACTTTTTAATTTTCTCCTTTCGCTTCTTCATATTTTTTCTCACTTGGTGGGTGTGCGAAGTGATATGCAGCACTTACGTTCTATTGCGAATAGTTCGTTCTGATCCGGCAGTAAGAATAACCACCCTGTCTACGATTTCTTTTGATAATAGTTTGTTATTGGCACTTTCCGCGCGAAGGAATCACCCAAAGCAGGCAGTTGCTGATAAAGGCTATCATTTGGGCCACTTCCGAGTATGTCTCCGTCTCGGAAAGTGAAACAGGAAGGAGGTATTTTGGCTTTGATGGTGACAATCCTGATGGCATTATTTTTTCAGCAGTTGCTGAGCGAGCCAGCATTGAAACGAGGTCGTTTGGAAGAGGATCTCTCTTCGGTCCAAAAAGTGCCGGATATTGCTGTTGGGCCGATGCTTCCGGCGGATACATTTCTTTTTGTAAGTTTTTGGACCTTTTTTTGCGTGAGTGCTGCATCGCTGCTGGATTATATACCCTGGCTTTTTTTTTCCTTACATTCTACCACGTAGGTGCGGAGTCAGACTGAAGGAAGTTTCTGGCATTTGCTGTTTAAATTAAACGGACTGAACTTTTTTCCCCATTTAAATTATAGTATTTCCATTTAGATTTTTAAGCATACAGTACTCTCAAATCTGACTTTTTTTTACCCCTTGCTTTACTTTTAACCATCTAAAATGCTGTTCATTGCTATCATTGCAGTTGGTTTTCCAGAGCTCTTTCCTAACAGTTAACCCTCTGCTGCCCCTCCCTCGCTTCCGCTCTCTCTGTGCGCCATCTCACTGGGCTTTGGGGATCGCAGCAAGCACATCCTGAGTCGTATGAAGTAGCGGATGTCTCTTTTGTCTTTTTGCAAACTCGCTTTCAAAAGCCATTCTGACTTTACTCCATTCCTTGTTATATTCTTGACCCAGCGGTTCATTTGAGCTTAGTTAAATTGTATTATAATAGCACATTCTCGAATCATCGTACCAGCTAGCAACCTTTCCTTGATTTCAAAGCCGAAGCCACATTACCAGATGCTCCACTTACTGGTATTAGCTAAATTAAAGGTGCTGCAGATTGATAACACTTGCTCTGCATCATTCCATGGCTTGTTAAATCACCGCCTGTTGCTAAACCGAACCAGTGTTTAGTAGAGAACAAACCAACAGCACTTCCGGCTTAATAAAAAAAAAAAAAAAAAAAACCATCTTACAGTTGTCACTGGTTGGATTCCTCT